AAGGTTAATTATACACAGATACATGCATTTTTGAAAATCGTTCAGGAAGTGTGCATGATACAAAGCCTATTGTGGATAGTTTTCTTTCATTTTCTGTTATTTATAGTTTCATGTAATATTTCGATTCAGTGCTTTGTCTATCCTGTTGGTATCTTTAATTACTTGATTTTTTTTTACAAAAACTGATGCTTTTACGTTGTCAAGTTTTCGTGCAAAGTATATCCCTCCGATAGGTTTGAAACCCAGGTAACTGAGAGCTCCTGTCATGATTTCTTGTTTGAAGTTGTATGGGTGCTCTACTTGCAGGCGCGTAGCTAGCCCCTTTACCATGTGTAAGCCCCGACATGGGGCTGCCAAAGGCAGCCCCCCACCCCCCACCCCCGAGCAGGGGGAGGGTACGGGAGTGGGTCTTCCCCCTCCCGTTAGGGGGGTCAGGGGGGTCTCCCCCATGAAAATTTTGTTTTCTAGAACGTCTCGGGAGCCATTTCCCACGTCCTGATGTCTGAGATAATGATATGTTGTAATTTATAATATAGTTTTAAAAAAGGGGCCGGACTTGCCCCGGCCTCCCCTACACATGTATAATACATGTGTAGGGGGGACCGGGGAAAACACGGCCCTTTTCTTTTTTCAAGACGTTATGGAAGGCATGTACTATACTGTTGAAATGCATATTTATATATGTCATTTAGAAAAGAAATGTATCGTCTTTCATAAACTAATAACCAAATCGTAAACAAGACCATATTTTGGGAATTATTGGACTTTTTAGGTCGAGAGAGTTGGGGGCCGGACGAGCCCCGCCCTGAGGTAAATCCGGCCCCTACCAGGGCAAGTATGGCATGAAGGATAGAGAAGACAATTTACTAATAAGTGTATGGAATTTCATTCAATTCTGTTGGAAAATAAGTCCAGAACAAATCAGTGAATACAAAGAAAAAAATACTTAATTTTTGCGACGTAAAAATATTATTTTTGTGGTCAATTGGGTGACGTTAACAATAGTGACGTCACTTGGCACAATAACAGTTGCATTCGGGGTGGCCGAATGTGCCCCGGCAAAAGGGGCCGAACGTGCCCCAAATTTATATTTTCATAAAAAAACCACATTGATTGTCTGTGTCCACTGTGCCATACTCGGAGTCGTTTGCGCCAGGCGTGAGTTTCTCAATTTACTCAATCGAGCAGTTAAGTTCCGCCTGGAACTGTCCATTAATGCAATGGACATTTCTAAACTTCATACATTTTTGTACTAACTATTAACACTGTATCATATCTGAGGAATTACATATGTATACTATATATTCAAAACTTAAACTCCACTTTATAATATCAGCAAGAAAAAATAATGTCATGAAAACCTATACTTGCCAAAATCATGTGCAAGCCCGGGCTTATTGGCTTACATGGTAGCTACGCGCCTGACTTGCTATGGGTCAGTATTTACAACAGCTTATTTATTGTGTCATACCAATTGAGTGCTACAGTACAATTGGACTGTAATACCCAACCAAGACTATACCATGCTCTATTCCAAACATGCCGAGGTGAACAACACGAGTAAATACCTAGCTCAACAACCGCCAAACGTCATCGACTGCGGGATCCAGGCTGCGACCTGTCGGTTAGTAGGTCGGGGCACTAACCAAAGCAAATGTTCTTATAAGCGAAACATTTCGTTTCGTTGTTTAAATCAAGGAAAGAACTATCTTAAATGCTTGCTTACGGTTTGTTGCGTTCATCACCAAATGATCACGGCATGTACCATGGTAGTAAGATTCCATCAACAATATTAACGCTGGTACAGGACGAGTGGTAATTAACCTTGACTTGGGTGTAGTTAAGGCTTACCTTACTCAAGACCACATGTATAGTGAATGGAATTGGCCCGACGATACCGTACAGTTGTCTAGGTAGACGACCTATTGAGAGAGGGCACGTCGAGTATGTACTGGTAGCTTAGAAACAAATAATAACTGCCGACAATTTTGTGCATTTCATTTTTTTGCAATTTCAATATATCAGAATACGTCCTTATTGCGATAAGAAACTATTTGGGTCACAGTATGCTGAACTGAAATGACTCGTTTTGAAAAACAATATAGCAGAAATGTTTACTACACGATTGCTTGTTATAAACGTGTCAATTGAAGCTTACAGTAGTTATCAATGATTTGTTTGGCTAAGGCATCGCCAAAAATGTTACAGAGGATCCAAGATGTCTGTCCCCATTGTCTCGTGTTGACGTCACAATCTCCAGATTCCGACCCCCTCGCCTACCTCTGTGAATCTGTCTACACACTTCTAAGTATATGTCAGCAATTATATTACACTTCACTAACAGTTTCGCATATGTTTTTTTAACAATCTAAACAATTTAGCGGCAAATTGTAAAAAGCTGCTGTCTGGAGTCTTCTCCGTCTGTTATTGCCGAAACTTCAAGAACAGCGGGGGTAAATAACGCACCTATGTCAATTAAAATAAACGTTCCTGATTAAAGCAGTAGCAAAGTGTGACATGTATACATATATAGAATGAGTTACGCCGAACTTCATCTTCGGTTTCCATGTCCCCTCCCCCATACCCCCTCCCACAGTCCCCTTCCCCATACCCCCTCCCACAGTCCCCTCCCCCATACTCCCTCCCACAGTCCCATCCCCCATCCCCCCTACCACAGACAGCTGTTATTTCGCTTACTATTAATGAGTTACTGTATCGTAGCGCCTGTTAGGGAAAAACACCATATAATAAGCAGGGTGAACGCGAAATCTGATTAAGCGAGAACGAAAAGTAGAAATAACTGAATAGAAAAAAATAAAATATCGCCACACCGACGAAAATAGGCACCAAAATTTCGGTAGCCATAAATCTTGTTAAATGGCGATAACTGTTTATGTTAATTGCAAACCGCTTACTTGCCCAAGGTGACTTTCGAATTAAATTGATTCCAGCCTACCGTTACAGTTTTTGAAGGATGTTATCGTTTTGTATATGTGTTCGTCTGTAATAGACGACAGGTTGGCGAGCGTCTTTGTAAACTCTGATACGTGTCAGAACATTACGATATACATGTTATTATTCAAAACAATCTAGGTTGATCGGAACGATACAAGCTTTCACGCTGCCGTCGACATGGTGATTAAATGCTTATTTAACATGGTGTATGCTGCCTACGCACTTGACGAACAGGGAGTCGTCGAGAGGATGCTGGATACAGAAAAACGGCCTGAACCATACCCGAACATTACGAACGAAGTTTCCCTATTTCTATTTAAGATCCTTTGTGCCAAAATGCTTTAACTTTACGTATGATTATATGTTATAACGATATTTGTATTACTACTATTTTGCAAACATTTAGAAATTAATATATGCAAACCTTGGCTGCAATGAGGTACATGCTAAATAATACACTGCATCCTTTCATGCATACGCACATTTTAACGTTTACAAACTGATACTCTGTATGCCTAAGGTAAAGCACGTTTAGGACACTTTAAAGTATAGATCACTTGCTTGAGTTCTACTTTTAGCATTGCTCTAGTCCTAGAATGGCGGATTGATTATGTCCAATTATGTCAAAACTACACAATAATGTAACATAAAACTTAACTTATAAGACGTTTACGAAATTAAACAGTTATCTAAGTGCTACTTTTGTGAACCTATCTATGACCTTATTGTATACTTTAGCTACAAGAACAGTATCTACTCATTTCCTGTTTGAGCGCGTTATATACACATAATGATAAAGGACTTTTTGTCATTTGGCCACGTGTCCGGGTACTTAAAGTAATCACGTGCGTGTGCGTATGCGAGAGAGCTATATCCTTGAGTAGAATAAAGATGGAGGAAAGTATCTGTTTATATACAATCACAACCTGTTCCGCAAAACAGATTGCTGTGATGACCTCTGACCCGCAGTGAGAACTCTTCGGTCAAGAAGGGCCATTTGGTAATATAATACTGTCTGGCACGTGTAGTGAAGAGTTTCGGTTTTATGGACCGTGCATCTAGGTATTTAACGAACGGCTGGAGACCTGGTCTGGACATAGTGCTCAAGTTTCAGTTTCATACAACTAGGAAAGGAGTCATGCTGAGAAACTATTGGGTAAATTAAAATACATACGAACTTGAATTAACTAATAAATTCCGGAATTATACGTAATTACCTGTAGGCACAATGACAATACAAAGAACGGTCGATGCCAAACTGTACCTGGCGAGGGGTAAAACAGGGGACGGGGTTCCTGTGGTGAGGGTATCGCTCATGTTGTTTTTGGGCCATCTGAGACAGATAACTGTATTCTGTACCATCTTCACCCACACCAGGCTTCTCAAACATGCCTTGGATCGTTTCCCAGCATCACAGTTTCAAATAATCACAAATTAATTGTAAACAAATGTGTGGTGCATATCATATGTGGCGGGGAAACTAACGACATCGTTATACCTCTCTGTAGGCCTAGTTACATACAGTACCTCGTCATCAGAGGATACCAAGAGGCTGAGGAGGGGTACTTGNTCTTACGCAAGACTTGTGGTAATAGAAAACAGCGGCAATTATCGACATGACATTTGACACTTTAATATCCGTACTGATACGGTTATGAAGAATGAGGGTACATGTTGAGTTCGCAAAGTCTACGCTTCCGTCAGGCTAACGTTGCACATGTATATGTTATTAACGTATGAAACGAAAAATGATATCGCGTCTACACCTGAAGGATTGTGAACTCTAATTGCACCACGTGTATCAGCGTACGTTGAATCTTTATGCAACCACTTCACAGTTTCATGTAGATATAACCTAAGTTGATGTGCGAATTAAATAGAACCATATGATACAAGCACGCTATGTCATCAGAGGAAACAGCAAAACTATAAGAAGAAATTCAACAAAATTAATGTTTTCATTGAAATGTTGACATGCGAATTACACTATACCCTAGCATGTTATATATTGAATTTTCATTGATAAAACCATTTTCTTAACTTACCACTCTTTCCAGTTCCTTCATGACCAAGAACAGCAATCTTGGTCTCGCCAAAGGACGATTTTTTCCTCTTGAGGTATGGACGGAGCCCCGCCCCTGTTCCCGTGGGAGAGTCGCTGAGGCCGCCCCCTCCGCTCATTACGTAATCGGGGCACGACACTGGTGTGACACTGGTAAGTCACACACGTAATAACAAATCCTTACAGGTAAGTTATCGGACCATCTCCAAGAAGCAATTCCTACCGTTACGACTCCATGATTTACTATTGGAGGTATATATGAACATAGAGCGCTAATGGACAATGCACAGCCCTGCTTGTTCTTGAAGGTTTGTCGATGCCATTATATCTTCCCTCTCTTTCTAACTGTGCATTCTATTTATACCTCTCTCCTCTCACACCAGGTGCCGATAGACTGAAGTGTTTCTCCGGTATATACACCTATAGCCTCGACCCTCCTCCCCTCTGTAATCCTCATTAACCACCGGCATTATTTAATTGTCTAATATTCATTGTACCTGACCTCGCTTAATCATGCTCGTAACCAGCTCCCTCTGATGTACGGCCCATCAAAGGGGGTGCGAACTGATGAATATCTGACGTTACTAGAATAGTTGGAAGCTCTGTCGGCTCAAATTGTTAGAATCATTTCAATTCACGAAATCTCAGACATCATAGACAGTATATGCAGTTCCAAAGTCGAGTATGCACTGAATAATTATAACTTACATGTCAAAATCACGTTTTTGTCTAATTTCAAAATTAAAGATGTCGTAAAACAACTATTAGACCATTTTTTAACCAATTTAAATACAGTTTTTATGATGCAATTTTACGAAGACAAAGACGACGTATAATCTTTATACTATATAACCTGTCTAATGACGATTATTGTTGTACAATGTAATGCATGATAACACTATTAGGTTTTGAAATATGCGGGATATTTTTTCGATAAAACAAATGTTCAGAGAATATGCATTTAGCTAATACAAAAAGCCTTACTAATGTAAATTGAACCATATGACGTAAAAGGACTCATTGGAGGTTTTAACGGTAGAACATAATTCAAATCCGTTTCTATTTTTTTCGAAATATGTAGAGAAATTCTGCAAAAATTGTCGGGATTACCATGTTTATTATTTATAGCATTGCAAATTCTAAACGTTTGGCTTTAATGGCTGATTAACAACAATTCTTTTTCAGATTTATATAAATTGTCAGTGTATAATTACTAGGGCTACAACGATGTACCGTACGACGATATAGCATATTTTGAATACGGTACGATACACAATATATTTTGGGAGCTTACGATACACCAACGATATTTTCGGATTTTGTCGTTTCTGAATTTAGTCTACTTATATCGGTTCCGACATGGCGAGTGACAGCTTAGGTCGGCATGCACGTCGAAAGACGTGAAAGATTGTGTGGAACTTTAAAGTCATGTCCATTTTGGACCAAGTCCAATTCAATTCAATTCAATTCAAATTATTACCAAATGCACATTGCATATAGGCGTACAGAAATATACATATGGATAAATCCTTTACAAATATCTTGTACAATGGCGGAGAACATATGCACTAGATTCAATTCCATACATAATATTTACAAATTATGAAATTGGCATAAGTTTGGGAAAACTTTAATGTTTTCCTAAGGTAACTTAGCGGACTCTTATGAAGCATAATTTAGTTGCATAATTTAGTCGTTTAGGAAATAATACAAATTAAGCCTTAATCTAACCAAATTTCTAGGAAATAACAAATCTTCAAAGTCAATCATACAACCTCAACATGAAGGTAGAACGAGTACTATATATTATATAATGAAATGAGATTATAACTTATTGTGAAATAAAAGACATAGATCTCAATCGCATTATACAGTAACAAAACGTCCATTTACAGGAGTAATATTGCCGTTAAAACATTTTCAACATATTTTTTCGCTTTGCTTCTTCTATAACTATAGGTATCGTGATACATTGTACTTATCGTATCGTGACCATAGTATCGTGATACATTGTACTTATCGTATCGTGACCATAGTATCGTGATACGTTTCGTATCGTCATGTCGATATATCGTTGCATTACATTTCAAAATATGTTTATTTTTAAATAAAATACATTCTATATTAAACATCATGGCAAATATATTCATAGAACTCTAGAACGAGATTTAAAAAGAATTTTCTTAATTTATATTTTGGTCAGTTTGAATATAATTCAATAATAATTTACGATGTACTGTATAATATTAAATTGAAACAAAAGAAATACGTTTTCAAATAACTGTTTTACGTCATAATCAGTTTTAGTCTGTTCCTCAAGGTTACGGAAGCTTTACCGGTAGACACCAGGGAAAGATACCTGGCATATAGTTAAGATAATTAGAATAGTGAGGATCTCTGGCGAATTAGTGGAGTTCTTATTGAGGGTGTGGAGTCACAATATCAGCGTGGCAGGTAAGTGGAGACGCTAGCTCGTTATGGCGGGGTGTTAGGGTCTTTCTGGGCCAAAGGTTTATCCACCATTTCATTGATCCCAAACTTCCTCCTCATTGTAATCTTAATTAAATGTTAAAACAGTAATTTACAGCCGTTTTACTGTTTCGCGGTAGCAATCATTAAGCCTGTTGAGTTCAAAATATAGTGTTGCCGCATTAATATTAAAGCTGTATCCTTCTGTAGCAAATTGCGTATCAGGTTCAAATTTCTGATTTTTAACATATATTTATTTATATTTCATTGAAATACAATCAGTTTCACGACCTTTTCTGTTAGATGGTGTAAAGACAGTGTTTGACGAATATTGACACTTGGCGTCACGGAACATAAAATACCCGGGAAATAATGCTTAAAATTTGTCAGTATATGTCCGACCGACATATTGTAAGCGTCCATCATATATATTACCAAAAATATCAATTCTGGACTATGAACGAAGCCTTTTTTAAAATATATAACTGATATTTCATTGCTCATTTTTAAGTGTCACATTGTTAAAAATAGTTGGTTTACACATCTTTATGAAACTAGTGCATTTAAAATAGGTCATTTGTTCATGTTACCTCCCTTTGACTAGGGGCAATTGTATATAATGAACTGTAGAATGTCAACTGAGAAAATTAATGTTTTAACACACCCAATAGTATGCATTGCTAAACGTGTGCCGTACCGACCTTCACGCTTTGTCTATATATGGTAGTAATACTCAATATAAATTATAGAATAGAACTATGAACGGATCATAGGGAAGTGATGTCGATTTGGAATCCTGAGTTTGATACATGAAATATCCAATATGTTTTATAGAGTCTTCAGCAATTAAGTGGAGGTTACTGTTTGTACGAGTAACCACATTGAACTCTGCAGTGTGTTAACTGCTTAAAACAAGAGTAATGACCTTGAAAGGGTGACCAATGTCGTCCCGCCAGCACGCCTTCCACCGAACTCTCTCACAAGGTTCGAATGCGGCTTTCAACTATATAGGTTCCAATACTATACAAATACTACAGTAAGGACGTGGAGACTGGTGACCGTTACTATACAAATACTACAGTAAGGACATGGATGACTGGTGACCATTACTATACAAATACTACAGTAAGGACACGGAGACTGGTGACCATTACTATACAAATACTACAGTAAGGACATGGATGACTGGTGACCATTACTATACAAATACTACAGTAAGGACGTGGAGACTGGTGACCATTACTATACAAATACTACAGTAAGGAC